TACCGATAATAAAGACCGCAAAATTCAATTTGTTTGCTATTTAATGATTCTACGAATTTGTAAAGTTCATAGTAATCATTTAACGTAATCTATAGTAAATGTTAAAGCATTTTAATTTATCGTTTAAAATATCAATGATAATTATGTGTATATATATATATATATGTATTTATGTATGTATGCGTGTACGTATATATAAATAAATCGATGATAAAACAATGACACAAAGGAATCGAATCCTTTAGTATCAAGATATTATTTCTCATCTATAAACTTGACTTTTTCTAAGTTATTTTTTAATGTTTTGGATCGTTGCATTGAAAAAATGCGTCGCAATTAAAATGATTTTTAAGAAAATTTTATATATATATATATATATATATATATATATGTATATCTGATTTGTGAGATTACTCATTTACACAATGCAAAGGACGAGACTTTACTAGCACCGTGTCTCATATAAGCCACTCCGACCTATGTATCTAACCCATTTAATAACATCATGATCAGAGTAATTCAACTTAGATTCAAATACTTTCAGATAACGAACTTTAAAACCTGATGGTGCGAATGGTACCTCAAAGTTCATTGATATTGGCGGCCTTGTCCATTTCTTTTTCGTATCCGTTTCGAGCAAATCTATTTCTGCTGAAAGTTGCGTCTCCTTCATACCAGCCATTCGTTTAATCTTCCAAACAATAGCATTTTCAGATGCCTTATATTTCGCTTTTCCTTTCAAACAAATCAATTGTACTCCTGCAGTATTTAATGGCGTTGGTACGCGTACTTCTATCTTTTGTCCCAATAATGACGGCTTAAAATTTGATTTCAAAACAGCTTTAACTTCCATTTTCGTGCGACCTACTTCTCGAACCAATGGAATCACGCGGAACGGTAACGATATATCTTTCGTAGTACGATACCTGAAATAAAATTACATTAATACAAAAAGATTCCAATTAAATCTTTTGTTATACTATCTTAAAAAGGAAAATAAAAATGTATTTACCTCATCAATTCAAATTCACCATCGGGTGGTATAAAACTAATGGAATGTTCCGTTTCAAATTTACTTAGCTTGACGCACTGATGAAATTGGCAATCATCAATAACAACAACAGGTTTACCAGATCTAGCAGGATCATCGCCACCACCTCCTAAGCCTCCTCCACCTTTCATACCTTTAGCTTCCATAACAATTTTGTCATTGATTCCAAATTTACATTCTGGCATGCCAGACAAGTATGACTTCATAACCACCTATGACAAAAATAAAAGAAAATATTAGTAACATGTATTATAACTATAATTAATTAATATTAAATATTATATAGATAACTGACCTTTCCTGCAACATGTGCACTAAGAACTTGGCCTTGCGGGCTCATCAAGAGATTCACATATTCCAATACATCCAAGAAAAGTTCATTGCGCCGGTATTTGATACCCTCTCGTCTCCATCCAATCTGTCCAGTAACTTGCGATGTTATTTGAGCTTGTTCTTCTTTCGTTGCCGACTTAACTCCTTGCTGAGTGATAAACGTCTTCAATACACCAGTATCGCAATTTTGGGGATAACCAAAATCTAGAATTTCTGAAAATTCCTTTTTTTGTATAAAAATGATATAAACACAAATCGTATATAATAAAAAAAAATTAACTAACCATCGAGTAATTCATAAATCAAAACAAAATTGTTCTTAATATTTTCCTCTGATATTTTGCCAAAGTATGATTGCATGACATCGATGATCTTAAGAAGAAATTCAAATACCATAGCAGCATTGACATTTTGCTTAGTTACAGCAGCTAACCAGATATTAGCACGTTTAATATGAAAAAAGGATGTTCTAGCAATATTGGTCACAGGAGAGCGTACTTGCTGACGTGCATGAATGACATTGACACGAAATGCATCGACAGCATTTCGACCAATGTCATCACGATATACTCTGGAAATGAGTACCTCTCCTTTGTGATTATAAACAAATAAACCCCCTATCATCTTGATGGAGGATATTCCACTTCTATAATTATGATAAACCTGCAAAGAAAAAGAAGAACAAAAGTCAAACTAACATTTTTCATATTGTCACAAAAAAGAGATTAATTCAAACAATAAATGAACATTTATGTTGAAGATTATTGTTCCAAACCAAACTAAAAAAAAATACTTCATAAATGAGCATTAAATCCAAACACTTAAATAAATTATTGGTAATCATTATGAATGTACATAAAAATTAAAAAATTAAAAAGATATCGATGAAGACTAACGAATTAATAATTCTAACATACGTTTTATATGTTTAAAATAATACAATAATCCTGGTAAATTGATAGATAACGCCCCATCGTCACTTTATGAGTGACATTTTCTACTATTGCATCTTCAAAGCGGTTGGTATTATCGATCGGAAAGGAATACTACTATTTCTACAGGAGACATCTCAAAATGATAAAATATTAAATATTAAATAAAAATAAATCAATATAT